CATTCGAACGGCAAGCCATGGCGGCGCGCTCGCTGACTCGTCCGGGTCCTCCAGCCCCCCAGTCGGAAACTCTGACCTGCCCGGTCTGTCTCATATCAGAAACTTACCCAGAGGAACTGATGACGCTTCCCTGTGGGCATGCTGGCCACCCGCGCTGCTTTAGTGAGTGGTTCTCATACTCACACAATAAAGACTGCCCGATGTGTCGAAGAGAACTCCGATACGCACAATGCGGTCACCACCTACGGATAGTCGACCTTCGTCCCGGCATGATCATGGATCCTTCAGAACTTTCTCGCGAGTGCCATTCATGCCTAGCTATCCGATACCTGCATCAAGAGGATACAGTTCCCTCGGCCGAGGACATCGACCGTCTTTGCGTAGTTCTCAGTGCAGCCGAGGAGCAGTCACGGCACCGCTCAGGTCCACGGAGGGAACAAATCAGTGCGGCTTACGTTTTCAGAGACTTGAGGAGAATCGTGGAGGGCTTTAAGGGGGAAACTCCCATGGGATTTGAGCATCTAAAGGGTCAGTTCATCCAAGACAAGCCTAGCTCGACGAGGCAAGGCGAAACCCCTACTCGTGCCGACTTCGGCGAGGCAACCACTATGGTCGAAGCTGAAGCACACGAGCTTAGGACCAGGGAGCTGATCAGAGTATGTTCCGGGGTAGAAAGAATGTGCACATATGGATTTCTCGCCGTCGGTATCGCATGGGTGGGACTTGTGGGTAATATGCTATTATTTCCATGACGGGCAACTTCCTATAGTGCGTCAATGCGCTGCTGAGTGTACCTTGGTAATCGTGCGTCTACAATCCGATACGATAATGAGATTCGGTATTATATTAGCTAACAATGTGCCAGACATCTAATGGTTAAATGGCTGACTGGCTAAGGTTTCAAACCCGAGTTGCGCCCGCATCTGCCCAGAGTTACAGTGCACGAAACGACACTTAGCCAACTCTTCCTCTATACGGTCTCCCATTTCGTATTAAATACAATAAGCATTGGATTAAGCGGTGGGTCTAATCGGATCCCACTGGAATAATAGGAAAATAGATGTTGGGATACATTGGAATAGGCGGTGGGTCTCATCGGATCCCACTGGAATGATAGGGAAAATAATCATTGGAATACATTGGAATAAGGAGTGAGTCTCGCTCGATCCTACTAGAACGTTGCCCGAATACCTGTTGAACCCATGCGCTATTCGGTTCGACTTCGCCCTCGCACCGGGAATTCGGGACGGCGGATCAGATTTCACTCCTTCCCCTTCGGCGATTTTGGAAGCACCTAGATACTATACCTCGCTGCTTGCCCCTAGGGATTGGGGCTCGCCAACTTGTAGTAGAGGATGGAGTTGAAGGATACACTGTCACTGTGGTACCATATCAGGGAGTAAAGTCATGGCTACGTCACCGTAGCGTATGGAACACTCGTTCCCTCCCGCTTCCCGCTGCACGCGATCACCAAGCCTCTGGTCTGGTATGTCGTCTAAGTATTTACAACTGCATTAGTACTTATGACATAGTTGAAACTGTTACGGACTGGCTAGTGCAGGTGGTTGCTGTGGTGGGGGACGAGGTGTGGTCCACCCCATCTGTATATAGCAAACGCCACAGCTGTGGAGGGAGCTCTTCTTTCCTCTCCGTCCCAGCTTCAGGGTTTTGCAATACCACAGGATTTGTGGCAGAGTCTTGATTCACATGTGATACCGTAACAGAAGCCAGGTCATTTCAGTTTCTTTCATAGCACGAGATTGTAGAGTGGGTCCCCTGAAGAAGCGTTTAAGCCATATCTGAGTAGAATGTGGCTTGTCGTGGCGCCAATGTGGCCGTAAACCTTAAAAACACGCCAATGCATCCCAATCAGGCAAGGCGAAGACTGATCATGACGGGGTATAGAAAGAATGTTGGTATCTCACCCACCTATTGCAACCAGTTACGCGATTGTACATCTACGCAACCTATGTGGCCTTGCGACATCCACTAATGTTTGGCTTTTTTGGCATAGTTAGAGCGCTGGCTACTAAGGACTTGTAGCCTGTTCTCCGATATATCCGCGCTGCAAGAACGGCATGCCGTTCACTATTACTGAACAGAAGACAGCAATCTATATTGCTCACCTGTTTGTTTGTTTTAACATCGGCAATTGTTGTATTAGACCAAAGTGTAACGAATACCCCACCGCTGTTGAATGATTCTGAATAAACTCGAGCGATATTGTTAGGCACACTCGAGACGTCTGGAGTACCACCTTCCAGTAGTCGTGTACCTGTGTACCATGATATTACACATTGCTCAGTTTCGAGGACAGGGCAGCGAATAAGGACAACACTGTGATGCTTTCGCCCACGCTCCGCTGCTACGCCTCGGCTAAGAAGCCCTTCCGCAGTGGTGATTTGGCTCTAACACATATACATCCATAAGTCGTCAAGGAAAGCCCAGGGTCCGTCCTCTGGTGTTCTCACGTTTCCTAAGCTCGGCTCAACATCGGGATCTTGCCTGTGCAATGTGGAACTCGGCAAAATCCTGCGGAAATTGCCCGCAGCGCCAAGAAACGCTAATATGCGTCATATACCTGCATAATCTGCCATTTCTCAACAGCGAATCATCTCTGAATCGTTCTGAACACATCCTCCATGTCGCAATTGGCTAGCGAGTCTGACTGTTAGGTCGTTAGACGGTCTCAGCCGATCATCACCGAGCAATCAGGAGGTTCCTGGTTCGAGCCCAGGTGGGGGAGTGTATATTCAATTTTTGCTGCTCCGCAGTTTTTTCTGCCAAATCTGAGGACGTGGCCGTGTTCTACGTATTCTGAAGATCCCTTTTGCCAAGTTTGATCCCATTACGATTGTTATCCGTGGAGATATTGTGATTATGCTGACGGGGTGGTAGCCATTTACACTATACTTATCCTAGATGGTCTCTGGGCACCTCTAAACTTTTCAACAGCGTCTGGCAGCATGGATTGTGTAAACATTGACCTTTTTGGGAAGATACTCATGACATTATTATGGAGTTTGCGACTCAAATGGGGGAATAGGACCTGGGGCGGATTTTGATCCATACCTATCCCGTGGCGTTGCTGACCCTACTCAGTCGCGGCGATTGCAATCTGATTGTGAACTTCGACTGCACCTCCAAGACTGGCAGTGTACCATACGGCATACGACATTGAATATGGAACACTTATCCATGGCATGCATACCTTGCTCTTGACTTAGTATTTGCCATTTTGTGCAGAAGATAGGGATGCATCATCTGGATCGCTGGTGCACTTTTCTTTGCTACGAACATAGGTCAAGCGGTAGTGGCTTGTCCGGCCGTTCATGTATACGGTAGCAGGAGGTATGGTATGTTGTTCCTACTGGTATATTATGAAGGTCACGGGCAACTTTTTCGACATGCAAGTGGTACAGGATATTGACTCCCGCTTGCCCTGCGCATAGCTACTAACACGCCACGGAGTGGCTGACGGCGCCACAGGGCCTCCTACAAACCCTCTCTCCTCAGCCCTTCAAACGGGCAGGGAGATTCTGCATCTCATTATTTACTACTCAATGCAACCAGGCTGTATCAGCTCCTTTGGGATACCGTCCAACGGTTTCGTACGCTGGGCAGCCATCGAGCATCGGGGCAGGCAGAAACATCGTGATGATGTGCACCGTGAACCAGTCTGTCTTGTACCGTCTTGTATTGTTATGTCCAAGTGAAATAGGGCTCCTGTGCCAGGAGAATGAAGCTATAAACAACCGATGCGAACTTGAACAGTATGCTGCACTTCAGGGGGTATATCATGGTGAAATAGAATGCAGTGTCGAGCCTCAAAAGGCTTCCTTGGGGTGGAGGCAACGTCAAAACGTGCCCCCTCCCTATTCCCTCAACGTGTCTGTTTTTGAACGTTTGCTCAAACCTTCCATATCAAATGCGACCACCAAGAAAACAATGTCCGAGAACTCCTGTGGGCCCCAGCTTGCCCACTCAATCCATGAAGGAGAAAAGTCAATGCCTGGGTTGGGTAAACTTCAACTCACGTCGCAGCGCGGCTCTCCTTCTCCTTGGCCAGCTCGGCCGCGATCTCTTCTCGCACTTGGCGGCACCACTTCCAGATGGCCTCCTCAAACTCAACCCAGACCTGCGGGCTGCTGTTGTACACCACCCCGAGCACGTCGACCTTGAGCCCCACCTCCCATCGCAGCTCAGCCGCCTTGATCCAGTAGCGTAGGTTATCCGCGCTTCGGTACGGCTTCTGCGTGTCGGTATGGAAGGACCCGATCGCCCCGAAGCGCCTGCACGACTTCCTCACGGCCGCGTTGTGGAGCTTCACCAGCCGGAGGCCGTTCTGCATGCTCTCCAGAAAGGGCGTTGGCACCTCGGCGGCCTGATCGACCGGGGTCCAGGCCGGCAGCGGCTCCGCCTCGCCGTCCATCGACGACAGGAAGGCCATCTCGCGCTCGATCTCGCGACCCGTCCAGTCGCCCTTGAGCCAGGTCCAGCCTTCCCTCTCGGCGCGGTCCGCCTCGTCCATCTCCTGTTCCTTCCGGAGCATCGTGCGGATGCTCTCGATCCAGGACCCCATGGTTTCTTGCTCCTCCTCGCGCATGCCCCCCGCAAAGTTCCTCGTCGCCATGTGCTTCAGGACCTCCATCACGCCCAGGAGCTCGGACCGAATCACTTTCTCCGACCGGATGCTGTCGAGACGCTCTGGGTGATCGTGAGATGTGTAGTAGACCTTGGCGGCGCGGATGGCCAGCGTCATAACGTCGAGGATCTGCATCCCCTGGACCTCATACCAGCCTTGGCCAGGCTTAGGTGATCGTTCCGGTGTCGAGGTTCCCGACCCCGTGGATGGAGGCTTCGTTGCCTTTGCCTCGTGCATGACCTTTGTTGCCGAGTCCAGAGCGCCCGTCAGTTCCGACTTGAGCTCGGCGCTGGTCGGCGGCTTGGGAACCACCTTCTCTCTATGCTTGTAGGTACTGGTCGTCGGCGGGAGAACGTCCGGGTCGACCTCGTACTCTTCGTCCGAGTAGAAGCCTCCCTGATCGTCCATGGGCGACTCGGCGAGCTGATCGTACTGTGCAGCAGAATCAGGGCTGGCACCCAGGGATGTGTGTGGTGATTCCGGGTCGGAACCAGGGGCCCTGGGGCTCAGGAGAGACGAGGTGTCCAGCTGGGAAAAGTCGATGGTGGCCCTGGGGTTTCGTTTCCGCGAAAGCTGTGCTCCCTTGCCGTCCAACAGTCCGGTTCTAGCGAAGTAGTACTGAAGATGTGCAATGCTTCCTAGGCTCAAGACGCTGTCCCTGTGTTTCGCGCTTGCTGCAAAATCCGTGCCCTCGGGTCTTGTGAAGCCCCGTCGCTTCGCCGGCCGCTCCCCGAAGTTGCCCGTCGAGTGGCGATAGTTGCCGAAGCTGACGTCCGACCGCCGGGACTGGTAGCTGGCCGAGGACTGGCGGGAGTAGGCCTCGCTGCCCAGCGAGTCCCGGAGCGAGCCATCCGTGCTGGAGCCATGGGAGACGGATGACGTCGCCGATGGCCAGCGATCTACCCTCAGGTTGGATCCCAGCGCCGCCGAGGGTGCGGTCTCGGGAGAGGGCGAGCCGCGACGAATCACGGGAGGGTCCTCGCAGGCTGTATTCGCAGCCATGTTGGGGATGTGCCGACCCGAAAGCGTAGTATGAGGCCTAGTGCTGGTCTGGGGGGTTGGAACAAGGACGGGTAGCTGAAGATCCCAGATGCACCGGGTCGAATCGAGGGGAGCAACTGCTACTGAGTTACTACCTAGGTAGGTCGTGATGGGAGGCGCGGGTCGGGAAGACAGGTATCTGCAAGAATGAGGGACAGCGATGAGCCTGACGGGGCTTGGGGGGATATTGTCGAAGCTGTCGTCCAAGTTAGGCGCAGGAGCCTGGGATCAGACGTGTGGGCCGTCGGCGAGGCGAAAGAGCAGCGGGCGATATTATGCCAACGGATATGCCAACAGGACCGGGCATCCAGCGTGTGAGACGAGCATCAAGTAACTACATAATCAACTTATCAGGGGCCATTCGTTAAGTGACCGGATGACAAGGGGTCCGCTGCGGTGGTTCGCGTCGTTCCGAGCGGGTGGGGACGCGTGAAATGGCAGTGATTTGGGTCGGATTCCCAATCTCACCCCTCCCCTCCCGCGACAGTCGTCGACGAGCGTGGAACTCTCCTGAGGCCTGCCGAGTCTGCGACTGGAGCAGGCAGCTGACTACCTATGTCTGCCATGCTTCTCTTCCGTACTATCTACAGCACGGATTCGAGATGCTTCCGACGTTGCGACGACCCTCCCCCCGAAGGGAGGCCGAGAGGATAAGGAGCCGTGACCGGCGGTGGCTTTAGCACGGAGCCACGAAAGTCAACAAACGGCCCATTTCATAGGCGTGCACGCAATGTTTGGGTCAACTGCCCCGGCAACAAGATTTGCCAGCATTCCACTCTTATTAATGAGGCAACCTGGCCTGGCGACAAGGTGGAGAGCAATCCACTTGAAACAAAGGTCTGCTGGCTGCACAGCGTTCCCCAGGCCTGGAGGCTCCAACCAACATCCTGCGAACCGTTTGAAGAGCGAAGCCGCGTGTCTGGTCGATCTGCTTGTTGAATGAGTGCAGCTCCAGCGTCTGATGGTCAAGGGGTTGGCCTACTAACCGGATACTGGTGCTATGTAAGTGCCAGACGCACGGGTTATTGACCCCACGTCTGCTGCCATTGGCTGGAAACGGCGCACCGAGGGGAAGGGTCACCCAAAGTTGTTTTAGCTCGGGAGCTAAGGACGAGGAGCTTGGGACCTTGGGTTTCGCTTTGATACAGTACCAAATCTACTCCGTACCCAAGTTAGTTATCAACCTGTCGCTTCATGTACCGTGATACAGTACGCAACTACATGGAGCACTGTAGGCAGCATAGACCCACGAGCGATACAGTGGATCTGCTCCGCACCGTGTTGAGGAGTATTCTAGCCCAGCATCAGGTAACCGCATAGTTGTGCTTCGATGCTCTTTAACGTTGGCAACCTTTTGAACGCAACCAGGCAAGTTAGTTGGCGTCTGCCTTTTTTCATTTGTACCATCTCAAGAGGCTGACTAGGATGGCTCGGAACAGCCTAAAAGCTCGACAGAGTACCTTCGGCCGCTTGCATAGTTGTTTTGGTTCTTCTAACGACAGCTTGAAACGCGCAGCTTCTCTCTCTCTCTCTCTTTCTCCCATTCTCTCTTTGTGGGTGTGTGGGGAAATAACACATGGGCCTCACTGTTCTGCGTCATGTGTATGTTGGAGCTACCTACGATTTGCGTAGGCTGCTTCCTGATATTAAAGCATCGTGGTTGGTACCAGCAGAGACACAATAATCCCGATCAACGCTGGGCCGCGGGCTGCGGTTATGCACATGCAGGTACTGTGAATGCATGCAAAGAGAATGTCTCCCATAGTACTACCTGTATGTATAGTAGGCCATAATCCTTGTCGGCCTGCAGCCAAAGTTTCCACGTAGGAGGTGGTAACAACCTCATTTTGGGGGGGAGGAGCGGTATGGAGTCCCTGTTTGCTTGTGTAGGTTTGACTGGCCCAGGAGAAGAGTGATAAGAGGGGCCAAATGTTGCATTCTCTGAAGAAAGACCTGGCAGATCACCTGCCTTGCCCAGCTTCAAATTGACTTACAGCTTCGTCCTGTCACACTTGTCTGACTGGGGAAAAGCACGGGCGTCAGGTACATCCGGCAGGCCTGGGCGGTCTTTGCTTCTATGGGGGAGAGTTTCAATGACCCAAACTTTGAGGCTTCGACTAGATCATCTTTAGGACAAGCGCCCGCCATCAGTGCTGTCAAAGTTGCAACTGCAGAACGGACTTTTGGACGGCCAGACCGCGGAACCAATAGCCTTGTCCCGTAATAAGGGACGATCGTCGTACCGTGGGATATTGAGCAAGCCACGCGAAGGACCCTTAGGGGGGAACACGGCACTGGTCGTCATTCTTCGATGGATACAATACCCAGGTCACTTAGTACGTACCGTATCTTGCCAGAGCTTGAACAAGGCCCTGGGGGATCGTGGAGTCTGGGAGAACCAATAAATAGCAAATGAAACGAAGCGAATAACCTCCCGGTGCATGGCCGTTCGTTCTCTTCAAGAGGTACCGTGGTCCTGCAGTCCGTTGTTCGTCCGCCCTCCTTTGGCGTCAATCTTCTCTTTTGTGCGCGAATGCCTGAACCAATGCCTTCCACTAAAAGATGCGGTTGCTTTTCGCCCCGAGTCAAAGTAGTGTACAAGAAATAGCCGTGTGAAACTGCTTTGGGCTGGAGGAGTCGCCAATCCGAGAAGGAAGGAGGGAGAATCTACTTTTTCCTTCGACGTCGCTTTTTCTTCCTGTTCACTTCCGACACTCTTCTCTTGACATCCCGATTGCCGACCATCCACCACTTTGCCAGCGTCCGATCTGCGCGAGACCCCTACCTTGAGCTGGCTTTGGAGGAAATAAACTCGAGAGTGACACGTTCGAGGGCGCATCCAACCCCGGCACCTGTTCCGACCAGGCGGCCTGCAGGCTACACACAGTAACTACCTAGGTAACTAGCTCTGCGACAAAGCAGCGTGCCTTGGTTGCATCGAACCCCCCGGCCTCTGCACGTCGCGTCCAACGTCGCCCGCGGACAGGAAAACACGGAAAACGGGGCCAGATACGTATGTAGACAGACGGACAGACGGACAGACATTCTGGCCTCGTACACCCACCCACCCATCCGTGATCCCACAGACCAGCGCGGGCACCGGCAGTCAAGAACTACGTACTTTACCCCCCAAAAAAAGAGAAGAAAAAAAGATAAAGCAGGCCGACGAACCCGCGCTGCCCAGTACCGTTGCCGAGGGTGGGCCTGCCTGCTCGTTGTGCTGGCTGGCGCGATTGCCACAGCGGGCAGCTCTGTCGACCACATACATCCTCGCCCTGGAGCCATCCTGCTCGGCCGCCAACTGCGATAGGTTCGCCCCAATCCTGCACCACAAGGGGCCCAATTAAGGCCTGCCGCTGCGCGTCGACGAACCCATTCCATCCCCACCAGACCGGCAACAGGCCAGCAGGGACTGGACATCGATCGTCAAGAGCTGCCTGCCTCGCTCGCTCAATCACCACGTCCAGTCCAGGCCCAGGGAACAGGCAGTGGGATCGCGACCCAGGTCCCAAGTCCCCAAGTTCAAGTCCAACGCCGTTGCGCTCCTCCTTGCTATTGATCGCCAGCCAGTCCGGTTCGCGCGAGGTTAAATGACCGGGCCACCTGTCACCGTGGAACCGGCTACGCCAGCTCAACATCGCTACGAGAGTAATAGTAATATTTCCTGCATGCACCGCGCTCCAGATCAGGACAACGATCCCAAAGAGACACACCACCACGATGCTGATGTCCGCCCACGCCCGCCGCCCACCATCCTAACCTTTTCTGACGTTCCCGGCGACCTTTCCCAGCTCGGTCCCATCCAACCGCAACCCGGCATCGAGACCAACAACAGCTCCGTGCTCCCGCCCGTCCGCTCGACCTCACGTCACCACCCACGCAAACCCTCCCCCGGCCTCGCCGCGCGCCTCAAGGCTCTAGGATTCGGCGGCACGTCCCGACAGCCGTCCGCCCCGGCCACCATCGCCCATGAGCACATCGGTCGGCTGCCCGAGGACCAGCTTCGACTGATCGACGAGAAGCACCAGGCCAACAGCTCCCTAGGGGAACCGCTCGAACGCCGCGGTCGCCCGTGGAAGGGTGCTGGCGCCCCTCTGCAGTTGCTGCGATCCAAGACGAGCCGCAGTAGTCTCAAGTCATTGAAGAAGGAAGAAGACGACGACAACAACAGCACCAAAGACGACTCCGGCGCCGCGCGCGCCCCGAGACACGATCTTCTTCCCGAGATCACCACGGCGCTACCTCTGGAGATGGATACCAATAAGTACCGGCTGCCCGACCACACCAACGGCAACGGCACCAAGGCACTATCAGATACGCGACGAGAGCACATAGAACGGGATTCGCGCATCCTGGAGCAGGAGAACCAGGCCCCGCCCCCCTTGCCGAAAGATACACCACCCGGCGGCACGGCATCGTCCGAGTTCAACCCCGATGTCTCCTATTTCAATCCTCTCGGCCTCCAACGGCCCGGCTCCATCTACACAATCTCGAGGCTCTCCTTCGCCAACCAACTTGCCCAACTCACATCGCTACAGCTCCCTGATGCAGAGACACTGTCAGGCAAGATCTCGGCAATTCCTACCGCGCAAGCCGCCGCAAAGGCCCTGATCAACGCCGCCGATCAAATACGCATGTGGATATCCAAAGCCACCGAGGTTATTGGCGGCCTGGACAGCGATGGCGATGTGGAATGGGCTGCCGCCGGAGGCCGGGAGGGCTACGAGGAGGTGGAAAACGCCATTATAAGGTTCGAGGAGCTCATCAACGTTTATGTTGGCGCCATTGAGGAGCTCCAAAACCGGACCGATATTGCCAGCGTGACAAGCGAGGATTTGCAGCAGGCCGTGACCCAGATGGAATCCATTCTGGAAGAGTGGGCAAGTATCCGGTCTACCCTCAAAATCGCGAAAGGCCAAATCGAGATTGCTATGGAATGGGAGGAGTTGTGGAACACCGTGCTGGGCGAAATCCAGAATGAGTTGGATGATCTCTGTCGGCTCGTCTTTGAGATGGAGGAGCGACGCCATAAGTCTTTGATTGCGGCGGTGAACGGCGATGGTGTCGACATTGGAGACCTAGAGACCATAGTCGAGGAAACGCCACCCACCGTTGCCCGGAACAATCGCGTCAGCCTACCAGCCTATCCCATGAGTCCAACCTCGCCGGCAGGGCCAAGCTTGACGCAGGATGATTCGAGTCTTCTGGCTTTGTTTGCTAGGATGCAGCCGCTGAGGGCTTCGTTGGATTTTCTCCCCATGAGGCTCTCGGTGTTTGAGGCTAGGGCGCAAGACGCATTTCCCTCGGCCGGCGAGGAGCTTGACGAAAGACGCACCTTTCTCGAGGAGACTTACAAGAAGTTGGAGCGGGATGCTGAATCACTAAGGAAGGAGCTTGGCGAAGACAGATGGGTTCTGGTGTTCCGTGGTGCCGGCCGTCAGGCGCAGAAGATGGTCGAGTCTGTCGAACGAACGGTGGCGAAACTACGCGAGGCTCTGGATTCCGGAATGCACCTAACAAATCCGGCTCATCTCAGCAAGAAGATCGAGAGTTATGAGGCAAAGAAAATGCACTACGGGCCGGCGATTGAACGAGTTCTGTCCATTATCGAAAAGGGTGTCAAGGATCGTCTCACCCTCAACGGCGAAATTTTAAGGCTGCACACCGAAATGCAGTCCAAGTGGAAAGACGTGAAAAACCAGATGCGAGATCTGGATGAAACCCTGGAAGAGGTACAATCCGACGGGAAGGGACAAACGTTGAGAGATTCCATCTCGAGCATGTTGTCTAATGACCGGTCGACGGTTGCGAGTGGCCACGAGACCCCCGGAAGCTCGCCTCCATCCTCGGTGGTCATGTCAAGCTTGGGCCTGGAGCCTGTCACTCCATTGGCAAACAAGAAGTCTCGGGCCACCAATTCTGGAAGCCATCTTCCTCTGCCCTCTAATTCACGAAGGAGCCTGGCACCGCAGTCGCAGGTTGCCAGGAAACCGCTTGGGTCTCGCTTGTCAACCTACTCCGGTTCTCCTAGCTCGTCAACTCCGGCACGTAGTGCATCTGCGACGCCGCTGGGTACTCGAACGCCCCGTTCTGTTTCCAATCTGGTGGATAACCGCCCTCGCTGGAACGGGTCCGTGAACGCGAAAGACTCCGACTTGGGGCACCACTTCAAGCCCCTGAGCCTAACCACACCAAGCCCGTACTCGAAGAGGAGTCCCACACCGGTTCGATCCACCTCATCACTCACGCCCAGCTCCAACACCAAGATACCCACACTACGTAGCCCGCTCGGCCGTGCAGGTTCCGCCTCGCCAATGCCTGAGGAAACACCACCAAGAACAAACACATCCCGGCTATCGTTCCGTGATCGCCTTGCCGAGCGCATGGCTTCGCCTGGTCCCTACTCTCAACAATCGTTGATGAAGCCGCGGCTGGCGTCTCAAGCGTCAATGTCCTCCTTGACCAACAACCGCCGCGCCTCTCTGCAGCCACCTAGACCGCAGGGCCAGGACGGCACCAAGCGATCGGTCAGTTCCATGGCCACCTCGAGACGAACGAGTCTGTTGCCTCAGCCAACGACAAGAACGGAGACCCCGACGGGCCGCCACAGCCCTCACGCCCTGGCAGGTGCACGAACAGCCATGCGGAGGCTGAGCAGTACTACAAGAGAGGATCCAAAGGACTCTAAGCCGCGCTGGCGGTTCTAATCGAGCTTCCTCGAGATGAAAGGACGTAAGGCATGGCGAACCATGGCACGGGCGACTTCCGGCGTTTTGTTCTTCCCCCAAGAATGGGAACAGGTCACTTTTCTTCGATTCGGACATCTCAGGCAGGACTGGGTTACCGTTACCTTGCATAAGACAGGCCTTTTTTTCTGTATTTGATACCTCCATAGTAAACTCCAACTGCTGTTGTAGATGGATAATCGGCGCGTTTGGGCCCTTGTGTGTAAGATATTGAGGCGGTGGAGGGGGCGAGGTTGATGTGGAAGCACCGGGCTTACTCGGCCCGAGGCTGACAAGAGCATGTCATATATAGATGAAAGGGGGTCAATAGCAGAATGACGAAATACTACTTGTTGTACATTTCAGTATAGTTATGCCCTATACTGCACTGCGGCGTTGCACTCCACAGAGTGTGACGCCGATATTGAGAGGTTTGGATCCAATACCATCTAGTACGGCTTGTTGATTCTTCATGATCACGTCTTGGTCTTTCACTTCTGCCGCTAGGACGACTCTTAGGCCAATTTTTTTTTTTCATTCATCCCATCTAGCCATGTTCGCCACACGAGAGGGTTGCAAAACACGCTCAAGATCTAGCTATATCGAGCAAACACGCTCAGAAACGCCTATGCCATGTCATGTCATGCCTTGCTATGCTTGATGCAGCTCTCTTGGAAGTCATTTATCCTCATTAAACGTGCCTTGCCTGACACGCCACCAGAAAGCCTTTCCACTCCTTCGCATTAATCATCTCAAACACCTTCGAACCATCTCGTGGCCTTAGTAAGGCATCGTGGGGATCGAGGCGCCACTTCGGCTGCCGCCACGACCCCCTCTTCCGCCGCGCTCCGCGGCGGTCGAGGCTATGGAGCCTCCGGAACGTGTCGAGCCCGTGGATGCACGCTTGGTCGACGCCTTCTTAGACACTCCGACGCCGGGCCTGCCCCTCTGGCTGCCCGAGGTCTTGCGGGCATATGGACGTCGGCGGCCACCTCGGACAAAGCTTTTGGCACCTCCACGGGTAGAGGAGCCTGACCGAGAACGGGGTGCAGATGCGGACGCGGATGTGGACGTTGCATTTTGTAGCCTGGCGAAGTTGGCATGCCATTGGCTGACCTCTGGAGGTTGCTGTTTTCCGTCGGTTTCGAAGTATCTCGAATCCTCGCCTTCGTCCTCGTCATCGTCGTCCATCTCAACGTCGTCCATTTCCTCATCTCCCGAGGAAACAAGATCAACGACGCTGTGTTCTGAGACATGGCGTCTCGCAATGTCCTGTGAAGCTCTCACTACATCTTCACCAAACATGTCTTCAAACTGCCGGTAGTGTTCCTTGATCTTGGGCAGGAACCTCTTGCCAAATTTCTTAACCTTTTCCGCGTCAATGCCTGGAATAGCTGCCATATCGTCCAAGGTGATCGTCCATCCTGCCACCATGGCACGCAGCTGTTGGCGTGTGAACACTGGCTTGCTGAGTGTGTTCTTGTGCTGGATATCTTCGGCAATCTTGACTGCTTCGTGCTCGAATGAAGCGATGATGACCTGGTGTACCTCGTTGAGATGTGCAAGCCCAGCGTCGTGCGTAATCGGCGGTCCCACTGGTCTCTTTTGTCGTTTTCGCCTAGAAATGGGCATTTCTTCAAAGTCATCATCGAAGGAATCGTCATCGACGACAAATGTGTCTTTCGCGTAGCCGTTATCATGTTTTTCATAAATCTCTTCGTCGGTGTCGTCGTCAACATGTGCGACAGCTTTCCCCTTCCCCTTCTTCACCTTCTTTGGCGGAGAGGACACGTTAGTAGAGGGAGGGAGCAACGACGTGTCAAGTCTGGTTTGCCTTGTCTCTTTCGTAGCCTTTGCTGCTTTCGTCTTGCGCTTGGAAGCGGCAGTTTGACTGTCACTACTCTTAACCTGCACAGTCAACATCAACTTCTTGCGTTGGCGTAGAAAAGGGTATGCGTTTGGCCCCAGCTGTATATTCGCGTCAGTGGAAAGTTTCAGAATGGGATGTGGCAAACTCACGAGGAAGTATTGAAATGCCATCTTCACTTTCTTGTTGAATATGTTTTCCTCAACGAGTGCCCCCTCTGCGGCCAGTCGGTCAATGACACGATGGATCTCGTGCTTGGGAATCTTCTTGGCAGTTCCAAAGTATTGATGAGTGTCCTCTTTCAGAGACTCATGGTACTTCTTAGGCTGCTGACCAAGCAGAACCTCCGTACATTGCACGAGGGTCATTTTCCTCTCTCTCTTGACTACTTCTAGAACAGCAATGGCAATGTCCGTGAAGTCTTTCATCTCGAAGACACCATTGGTTTTGCAGTTATCGCAGGTTGACTGGCAGTCGCTCTTCTCAAACGCCTCACCAAAGTAGCGGAGGATCTCAACACGCCGGCAGTCGCTTTGATTGTCGGCAAATGCATTGACTGCATTCAGCATATTTCTCTGTCGTTCCTTCTGTTGCTCGTTGCCATCTCCGTCGTTGATCATCTTGCGTAGTTGGGTGACATCTCCGTAGTTGTAGTACAGATAGCATTCGGATGGCAAGCCATCTCGACCAGCGCGCCCTGTTTCTTGATAATAACCCTCTAAACTCTTAGGAAGAGTTTGGTGTATGACAAAACGCACATCTGGCTTGTCTATACCCATGCCAAATGCGATTGTCGCGACGACAACCTTGATTTTCCCTTTTTGCCAAGCTTTCTGGATCTTGGCCTTCTCAACTGCTTCTACGCCGGCATGATAATGATGGGCAGCGATACCGTGTACCTGTAGCTTCTCGGCGGTAGACTCGGCGTTCTTTCGTGATAAGACGTAGACTATGCCGGTCAAACCCGAATACCGATCGTTGATCAACCTGGCGATTGTTTCCACGTTGCCCTTCTCCTTTCGCCGGACCTCATAGTAGAGGTTGGGACGGTTGAAACTCTGCGTGAACACCTCACACTCATCGATGCCGAGATTGTGCTTGATGTCCACAATCACGTTGAGCGTCGCAGTCGCGGTCAAGGCTATGACGGGGACATTCGGAAAATCGTAGCGGAATGCACCAAGTTCCTTATAATCCGGGCGGAAATCGTGGCCCCATTGGCTGACACAGTGCGCTTCATCGATCACGAGTCGAGCGAGTTTCTTGTGTTTATAAAGCGCGCTCAGGCCGCTTCGAAAGGCGGAACTCTTGTTGATCATTTCCGGTGTGACATAAAGAAGGTCAACGAACTGATCTGCTGCAGGGTTTTTGAGAAGATTAAGTATCTCCTTCTTGGCTTCTGGGGCGCACTCGCCGTTGAACGACACTGCCTGAATGTGCAAAGCCATGAGATGATCTACTTGATCCTGCATAAGACTTAGCAGCGGAGACACAACAATTGTTATGCCACGTGTCTTCCCACTCTTCACGACAGCAGGTAATTGATAGCAGAGAGATTTGCCGCCGCCCGTCGGCATGAGAACAAACGCGTCCTGACCAGCAAGCGTAGTGTTGATGGCTTCCAGTTGGTTGTGTCGAAACCCAGCCATTCTAAATCTTTCTTTGAGTGCTCTCTTCACATCGGCGGACCACGGAAACTTCATTAGCTCAGGAGGGAAATGGGCTCTCGTGGATGTGCTTGCAACTCTCTTCACTGCCTGTTGTTTCGCTGGTAGAGCATTCCCTGAGGTTTCTCCAAATACAGACCTGCCTGGTTTGCGCAACAAGCTCTCTGACGAGGATTGCTCGAGCTCCAGGCCCTCAGCAAGCTCAAGCATTTCTGCGTCATCACCATCATAGTCATCTTCACTCATGAAGGTCTCGGTAAGCTTTGGAGATCCCCGGATAGGACTTCTGCGGCCTCGGACGCTTGGCAACTTCGATGACGACTGTGGTTGATGGTGAGAGATCTCATATGATGGCTCCCCGTCAAAAAATTTGCCTTCCTCATCGAACTCATCGAACTCGTCAAACTCATCAAACCCACGGTCTGTTCGGGGCGCTGGCCAAGGCTGTGAGCGCTTCCCGGAAGGAAGAGCATGCTCATGAGCGGTGTATGCGCCTACAACCCTGGAACTAGGAGTGGCGGTTCCGGGTGCACCCCTTCCGGCAGCTTGCGGCAAGTGCGTGTCTTCAGTGGAACGGAAAGCCGAGGGTGTCAGGGCTTCAGAGTTGGCAGGAACTTGGGTCTGTAAGACGACTTGAGAAAAGGCGCCGGTACCTACAGTTGACTCTCTCGATAGACCATGCAAGTGTGCGATGCGGCTGGGCTGGGTGGCCTGGACAACCGAGTCACAATGGCTCGCACGACCAGGTGGCGGTTCTCGGTCCTCAAACATGCTTACATCGTTGATGCCGGCTTTGAGAAGAGCCATGATCAAGTCTGTTTCCTTCTTCGAGACATCCGCCCTTAGGCTGTCCATTCTGGCCTCTGACTCATCGGGGGTTGTTCCAGTCTGCTCGTAGGCTTCCATCATTTGCTCCGTGAGCATGTCTTTCTCAAGGACCAAGTCCTCATATGATTGGTGTTCATCAGATAGTGCATTCAAAGCAGTGTGTTGGCGAGTCAGCTGCTCCCTTTGTCGTTTCAGACTGTCTCTCTTTTCTGGCTGTCCTCCCGTAAGCGCGGCCCGAAACTCATCGCGATTCTGCTTCAGTTTCTCCTCCATCAGCGCCCGTCTCCTTTGCAGGATTGAAGGGCTGGACAAGAAGAGTTTGAGTATCGCAGTCTGGACATCATCGCCAGGGATTATGGCGGCCTGACTAGGCGCAGGCGGTTGAACGGTAGCAGCTGCAAAGTTGCTTGCTGCCTTGGAATCTTGGTGTATGACTGGCGGCCGCAAAGGCTGTGATATGTCATGCCGGGTTTTTGACGGCGTGTTATAAGCTATTATTGACGGAGACGTGCTCCGCACACGATTGGTCGTCGAGTCCTTGCGGCTTCCTCGGCTGCCCGTGGAGTGTATCGTCACGATAGAAGTGTTGTGCGTTGGGGGAGTTGCCCATTCTTCATCCGAATCCTGAATCACTTGACTATCACGGCGAGACCTTCTCGAAGGTCCAGCTCTGGGCTCAACGCTAGATCTGTCCTCGGCTTTCAAGGGTGAAGACTGCTTGCTTGGGCTGGGAGTGCGTTTGACAGAAAAGGGGCGAAACTCGGAAAGCTTTAGGGGCGTTTTGGTTGGCGAGCATTTGATCCTGGGTGATACCTCGTTGTGAATCACTTCACTAGGCATGGCTCGCTGGCTTGCCCGACTGGCGCGCGTGTTTTCCACCGCGAGGGCAGGCACAGCTTCCTCCCAAACATTCCGCAGTGCCATGCCATCCTTCCCAACTGTCTTCGGGGTCGTGTGGATGACTGATTCTGTCGAGGTGTCACCCACAATTTCGTAGATATCCGGAAACTCGTCTTCTTCTAGAGGTGCCGCCGCGGGATCCTCTGAGCGCCTGCTAATCTCGTTGCTCTTGCGCTTCTTCCCACGTCCTGCGGACATGGGCTCGGGGCGGCTCGCATGTTCTGGGGTCCATACTATGGCATCATCTCCAAAAGCGAATGCAGGATCTGAGGACAGGATATCGTCAGACCCCGTTAAGTCGACAGTCTCACAATGGGTATCTCTCGTCGAGATGGGCGTCTGAGGCTTCAACCGGTGGGTATTCCGTTGAGGGGACACCTTCCTGGCGGCTGATGTCGTCACCGCGGCTGCGGATGTTCTGAGCGAGGCCGAGTACGCCCTTTGGAGTCTGCCGCCGTGCGTATTGGAAGCCGGCGTGAGCAGTTGGTCCTGAGACTGCTGCTGGTGCACAAGTAGCGAACGCCTCTTCGACCCCGAGGCTGGCACCAGTCGTCCCATTTCCTCCAGGGTCTCGGATAGCACGCCGTCACCCAATTCCTTGTCGTGTGAACAATGGCGGCCGGCTGTTGCCGGGACATGTGAAGTGATGGGCCGTGACGGCGGCCTGGCCGGTTCGGCCAAGGTAGAAAGGGTCCTAGACAGCTCAAAGTCTCCAGCACTCGAGGTTGGCGGCAGCGCGGAGGCGGCTTGAGGATCAGTGTCCTGGGTCAGAGAGGCGGCAGGGTAATCGCAGGCGGCGGGCAGCAATGGCGCGTTTGGCGTGGACAAGGCGAGATTCGCCAGGAACCAAGATAGATGCTCGCCTAGGTTGTGGCGCGTCATGAAGCCGGCTTGGAACGCAGGTCGGTCCCCCGGCTAGCCCATGAGAGATGATGGCGGATTCCCGGCTGCGTGTCAAACAGGTGCATGGGCCGTCGTGACCGAAGGCTTCCTCCACGGTGTCGTCGTGTCTCGAGGTCGCGAACCAAGACAAGGTACGCCAGTGTGCAGTAGGTACACGCTATGGTAGTACAGCAGTACGCCGTCGACCCGGCCCCACCATGGAGACGCGCTCTGGTGGTGCCACGGTCACCAAGTCACGTGATCCGAGGCGAGCCGCCGAAAGATTACACAGCAGCTTTACGGTAGCTTTACCCACAGTAAAGAACCTGGGAGGCTGCTGCATTTGGAAATTAGTGCCGCCGGCCCGGGAATACGGGCGGCTGCCGGCTGCAGCTTGCGGCTCGGCTTGCAGCAAGTGCAGCTGGGGTATGTGCATCGTCAAGTCAAGCCTACACAACCCCGTTCAAGCGGTCCTGACGGCCGCGTCCCAGCATGTCTGGTCATCAACCCGCCGTTGCAGAACTACAGTGTTGGTCTTGGATGCGAACTTTTCACTCCTTTTCTTTTTTTCTCCCTCTTTAATACGTTTATTGTATGTTTTGTAAGATTACGTTCTCACCCTACATAGACTCCATTCTCGGTCATGACATGCGCGGGTCTATAACACAGGCGCTCTGGCGGGATCCTCTGGAGAATCCGGTCTTGACGTCGGCGCCGGCGTACATACCACAGCGGCTTCCACATCACTGTATTTTGGCTTGTCTGTGCCATTGAACAGGTACATCACTGTGACCAACAGTTTCCCACCCGCCGAGACGAAAATGGCCGGTGCGGAGCCTCCCGCCTTATATATACCAGCCCCGACAAGTGTGCCCAGGATCAGCGCAACCAGGAAGCTCACCCTCCGGTTCCGGGGCCGGTTCGTCCACGTGAACATGTGAGGATCGATCATCAAATCGACCCATGCAGCAGTGGCCATCGCCGTCGATATCTCGGGCAAAGCCAGGGACCGTGACTGCACGACCTGGCTTCCCGATGCAAATGCGAGCAAAGCGACAACCGTGACCGCTGCGGGCCCCTCCTTCTCTATCCCGTAGACGTGCTGTATTGTTGCAGCCGCGAAGACGAGGCATGACTGGAACAGGTTGCAGAACAGCAGCCACCATCTGCGTCTCGCACCGATCAGGTGGCTGAGCTGACCCGTGAGCCACCCGGCCCCCAAGAAGAACCCCAGCGCCGCCCCGATGTTGGCTGTGATGAACATGTCACCATCGAACTCGGGCAGTACGATGGCAAGCATGAGGAAAACCGTGTTTCCTGTTTGGTTGGATGCGAAGCAGTGGTAGTCGGGAAAGGAAATGGCATCTTGGATTCCAGTACAGCTAGACATGGAATATGGTTAGTATCTGACTTGTTGACAACTAGCAGCGCTCATAACCTCCAGCGTGGGCTTTAGTTGGGTTACCTACAAGGTCAGGAGGACAAGCTCGAACTCCGCAAAAATGGAGCTGCGGACATCCTCTTGTAAGTGATCACTGACCCTGGAGAGGGTCGATCGATGCGCTGGGGAAGAGTCCGAAGAAGGCAGAGCTTCTTTGGTTTTCTCCATTGCCTTGACTGTGGATATGGTTCACCGGGATGAACCTAAAGGATCGAGTTATGTAGAGCAGAGAGTATGTACGCTGTTTGGTTCCTTTATCAAGATGATAGTCTCGAAGGGCGATCGGGTCTATCGAGAGGATTGGGAACGTGCTACCACGGTGAACGAAAAGAAAGTAAGAAATCAAACTTCCCTTCTACAGTAAATCTTGCCTAGAGCTACCAACAAGAGACATTGCCGCCTCAACCTACCCGGTTTCCCACGACATGGACTGTACCGATCCAGTTGAAGCCGCTCGACCAGACGGCCGGGTCTCAGACCGACAACCGCAGGAGTAGACAACGTAGTAGGCCGTGTAGGTCTGAGATCCGGTCTAGCGTCTCGACTTGGCCACCATTGGAGCTGACTAGCTGACATTTTGCCCCGGAGCCAGAAAAACCCATACCTCTTTTTGTGGGTCCAACCACTGGGGTGTGCGATGCTCGGCGACATTCGTGACACAATCTCTACGAGGAGGAGTAGAAGTACTAGACGTGCTGCTGCTAGGGATGATGAAGCCGAATGTCCCAAGGCATCAAAATTCGGGAGGGCTGTCACGAGCGCCATCGGTCCTTGATGACGTAAATACATCAAGCCAATTTGTAGTGTCACAAGGCCCTGGGCGGTGATGCGGCCGGCAGGCCGGCTACCGAGTACCGAGTGGAGACAAACCGACTACCGCGCCCGGCCCGGCTGAGGCAATGGAGCAGAGAATTTTCCTCGTCGACTCATGCATGTGTAGCGATGGCTCAGCCAACAGTCAGGCCTTCGAGGCGGTGTGCGGGTTTCCCAATACCAGTTTGCTCTGCGAAAGCTCTCGTTGCAGCCCGCTGTATCAGGAGCTGAGACAACCACTCGAAGCCCGAACCAGCAACATCATGAATCTGTTTTGTTAATAGCAGTATGGCCCACATCTGCACAGAGTCTGACCTTTTCGTGCGATCGATTTGCGGATGCAGAGAAAATCTGCCCATCAAGTATGGTGTGACCCCGAGACGGGGCGTGGTCCAACCCTCGTCATATTTGACTTTGTTAGGGAACTTGTCGAAAAGGTTTGAATAGCTAACGGATGTGATAGCCAACATTTGTACGAGAAACGTGGCTATCCAGCTGTAGAACCAGGCGGCCCCGGATCTTATAGACACCGTAACGTACCCCAGGTCCTCTGGCTAGCCTCGAGAACTGTGGGGGTTATGTTAGGTAAAAAGAGTCATGAGCGCGGGTGAATGACCCTGGTTGTCCAGTGGCTGTAATGTGATTAAATGACAAGTTTCGCAATGTATCCAGGGATCCAAAGCCGTGGCTATTCTGGCTGTACAGGTATGGATGGTTCTTGAGTGGTCAATAGATTGATTGCACACTGTGGGCGAAGATGGCTCGCCCTACTCGGTATGCCGAAAGATCCCATGTCCCTTCAAACTTTGAGATGCAGTTATATTAGATGCGGTCGTCAGCCGGGCCCGAAATCTGCACTCAAGAGCGAACCAGCCCTTGCTTGGATGATATACCGGATGAGAAGGAGAGATACGAGTTATAGAAATGCTGTTGGGTATGCACCGAGGTGTGGACAACGGTGGTCCACTCAGCCCTACGCATGGATCTGAGCCGGTGAGGCTGGTAATTGGCGGTTTGTAGGCTGCGAGCATTGGCCTTACTTCGCCGCAATCATGATCTACTGCGATAGGGTTGAGTTTCCAGGGGTACCCGTGACACGGATTGTCTTGCAAATGTACCAAGCTTGGTTGGAACCAGACGGGAAACTTCATCTGTACGTGAGGCCTGCACACTGCCGAAGAAAATAGTCGCGGTTGCGTTTCCGAGATCTTGGGCCATGTGGGGGCACAATACAACGCCAGCCGTCCCTAGCGTGCGGTTCCTGATACGCAGGGTATTTTTGTGACAAATCGCGACAGCGAGGCCAACCTTAATCAGGTGACGACCTCAACGACGACCTCGAATACATTGATGCTTTGAAGGCCGGACACAGTGTTGAGTACGGCTGTCGCAGAATCCGCAACGCCGCGCCTCTCCACGAAGGCCAAGCCGCGAAGATGTCGCGCCGACTCTGTATCTACTCGAAGTAATGGTGTGCTGCACGCGCATGCCCTAATCCCCGGCCGGGCCTCGCACAACCACATACCGGTAGTTTGATCCGTCAGATCGTCCCTGAACAGCTGATCCGACAAAATCCTGGGGGCATCCCCAGACTGAGATGCACAACCCGCATAGAATCTCACTCTCTCGCCGCCGCGGAGATTTAATACATGATGGTATGGACTGTACGCGGCCAACGAGAGGGTGAGTTCTTATCTTTGGCCCGGTGGATCCTACTACTTTCGCTCCCAGCCCTCGCAGATAAGGGGCCAGCGGGCGGCTGTTCGTTCATAGATCCTCCCTGCTCTTATCAGTCGGCACCCAGGCCAAGGCGCCTCAAACAGGCTGTCGGTACACTCCTTTCTTATTTTATGGGGGTCCTGCGGTAATCATTCTGGTGTCAATGCTAATGCCGGAGAAACAGAAATCGAAATAGAGCCTCGCTGGCCTGGATCTTATCAGTTGGTCGCTGCCACAAGATATACCGCAGGCTGACTCTGCAGACCAGGAACAGTGCTCCCAATGACAAGTCCTCTTTTCTGTGCATCATATGCAACGTACGGGCTGGCTGTATTGGCATGCATCATAAGCACCGCGAGCCTTGAAGTCACACACCTTGGGAGCCTGGCTCTTGCCAAACATTCACCTTAACTACTGTACCTCTGTTCACTTGTCGATATTTGGGGGGGAAAGTGCCAGTGACGATCGTCCAATCGACACCTAATCACCCAAGATCGACATTACTAGTAATTCTCATTCTACTGGCACTCGGCTTGGCGACTTTAGGTTCTCTTATCGCAGAAGGTGGCGGCACTGCTTGATATATCCAGCACCACCACCACAGCCAAATAGTCTTTCCAAGGTCTATATTCAGCTCTTCCAATCTAGGAGCTAGTCTGCTCGGCCCAGTCTGAAATCCCCACAGGCCTCTCCCGCGGAGAAGACGACACAAGGATTAGTGTGGAGGACACGACAAGGCCTGGCCCACTGAAAGCTGTCTCATCCGGAGATACTCAATTGCAGAGCTTGGGTGTGAGACCTTCATCGACCATTGCACGGTGGAGCTATAAGATACATCCCAGCCCACGGTGACTTGAGTACGGTTGCTACATGCAGACGCAAAGAAAGTAGCCTGCAATCCTCTGAAATAGGACCATCTTCCCAAATCTTACCTCTGATAATAGTTTCGGGTTTTAATTTAACTACAACATGAAGGTCTCCTACCTTTGGGTGTCCCCCGAGGTCAACCCCATCAACCGAAAAGCCCGATCTATACCCTTCTTTAACCCGATCAATGTCTACGGCAGAGTGTTTTTCTTCTCCTGGTTCGGTTTCATGGTGGCTTTCTGGGCCTGGTACACCTTTCCACCACTTGTAGGCCATCTCAAACGGGACCTTACTAGCTGCAGTAGCTGACACAAACAGTTGACACACACTATCAAAGCAAACCTGGGACTTACACCAGCCCAAGTCGCGAACTCGAACATCGTCTCGCTCTGCGCTACGTACGTTACCAATTGGGATAAGCAGCTGAATCTGGCAGAAAACTAACAAGGACTTAGTCTTCTGATTCGATTTGTCGCCGGCCCCCTTTGCGATCAGTTTGGTCCTCGATGGGTCTTTGCTGGCCTCCTTCTGCTCGGATCTATCCCCCTCGGCCTCGCGCCCCTTGTACAGTCGGCTAGCGGCTTATACGTCAGTCGTTTCTTCCTTGGAATTCTAGGGGGCGCGTTCGTCCCCTGCATGGTATGGTCGACTGGCTTCTTCGACAAAAATGTCGTGGGCACGGCAAACGCCCTGACGGGTGGCTGGGGTAATGCTGGTGGTGGCATCACATACTTCATCATGCCGGCTGTCTTTGACTCGTTGAAAGGCCGGGGATATACCGACGGTGTCGCATGGCGGCTTACTTTCATCGTGCCCTTGATCATCGTCATCGCCACTGCCATGGGCATGGTCTTGTTCTGCCCCGACACCCCAACTGGAAAGTGGTCTGAGCGACACCTACACGCCTCTGACAACCTACACTCTCACGGCGTCGATGCGCCGCCTGCCACGGGAGGTGTTGTCGACGTCCCTGGCAGCGTTGTAGAGAAGGTGCCCACCAATAGTTACTCCGCCAGCGAAGAGGGCGAAAAGAAGAAGGAGGAGCCCAAGAACGAGTCCAACTGGGACCACGAGGCAGCGCTTTCGAAGGATGAGATGCTCGAGACTGCCAAGGGCGAGATCATCGCCAAGCCGACATTCAAGGAGGGCATGAGGGTCCTGTTCTCCCTGCAGACTGCCTTCCACGTCTCGACCTACTCCTGCTCATTCGGCGGCGAGCTGGCCATCAACTCCATTCTCAGCGCGTACTACGTCAAGAACTTCCCATCGCTGGGTCAGACTGGCGCTTCCAACTGGGCCGCCATGTTTGGGTTCCTCAACTTCGTCACGAGGCCGCTCGGAGGCGTAGTCAGCGACATCGTCTACAGAGCGACCGGCCGCAGTGTTTGGGCAAAGAAGATCTGGATCATGGTCTGCGGCTGCGTTACTGGGCTGTTGCTCATCATCATTGGCAAGGTCGACCCCCACGACCAATCTACCATGTTCGGCCTGATTGCCCTGATGGCCATCTTCCTCGAGGCAGGCAACGGTGCCAACTTTTCTCTCATCCCCCACGTCCACCCGCATGCCAACGGCTTCGTGTCGGGTACCACCGGCGCTGGCGGCAACCTGGGTGGTGTCGTCTTTGCGATCATCTTCCGGTTCATGGAAAACGGCACAGATTATGCCAAGTCATTCTGGATCATTGGTATCATGATGCTCATCCTTAACTTGATGTGGTCATGGGTACCGCCGTTGCCCAAGGGGCAGATTGGTGGGCACTAGAACTTCACGTTATTGTCTTGAGTTTTTGAACCAGGAAGGAAATATGCATGCTGATAGAAGTGTATATGGGAAACCTAATTTGGGTATGAAACAAAGCTTAGACGAGGAATGGGATGATACCTTTTGGTTATGACAGCGTTGTATTTAGAGGTGCGGAACTCTATCAGGGGCTCGAAAAAAAATGCGACGTAATTATAGAATGAGCACAAGAATAGGATGGTCCATAAACAACTCTGCACTTTCGTAACCGGTTTTTGGCCCCCAATCTCTCGTTGTCAAAAGGTTGGTTAGTAATGTACTTGTGCTTCGTTTCACACCGGTCCGATGATCTTCGAGATCTATTGCCTCATCTGGAATGCTTGACAAGATAAGGTTGGCCAACCACATTTTGCAATTGGCCTTAGGTTGCACGGCCGCGGCCGCGGCTGCGAGCTTAAAGATGACTTCACGCATGCCTTTGCCACGTGCAGGTGGAATCTAACCTTCTTCCTACCTGCAGCGAGCCGCTTATGGCCGCGTCGTACAACAGCGGCATCGCCAAGGAAGGGGTTATACTGCACAGCGTACGGAGAAGTATGGAGCAAGCACATTTCAATTCGACATTCACCGCAGCGGTGTGGAAGCATACTTTAAAGTTTTCAACCAAAATATTGTCGGAATCTCTATTGAGGACTAAGTTGACAGGCTCAGATCCCTCTCCACCTCCCTCTCCAGAATCATTGCACATGCATTCAGCATGTCACGTGGGAGCGGGTATGCAAATGTACGCCCTGATTAAGCCCGTTTTTAATGACCAGTAACCGGAATATGCACAAAAATAATGCATCCATTTCACCTTGATGCCGCCAAAACGAAGGAAATACTCAACGCGATGGAAGAAGGCTTAGATGGCGAGCATGGCAGCGGCCGCAGCACCCAAGATGGCGAATCCACCGACGGCAACGCGGGGAGCGGCGGCGGTAGGGACGGAAGAGGCAGAGGTAGAAGTGCTGGTGGCCGAGGTCTTGGCCGAAGTCAGGCTGGTCAAGGTGGTACCAGCCGCAGTGGTCGAAGGGCTGGTGCTGTTTCCAGTAGAGACAATGACGCTGGGGATAGCAGAGGAGTTGGCCGGGACAGTGGGCTCAACAGTAGTCGTGGGCACGGCGCTGTAGGTCTCAGCGGCCGAAGTGACGGCGGTAGTAGAAGCAGCAGGGGCAGTAGGGTAGCCCGAGGTAGCATAGCCACCAGTTGCGGCAGCCGAAGAACCCTGGCTGGCGCCGGTGCTGCTGCTGCTGCCGGCCTTGATCTGGAAGGGGAACGAGTACTGGAAGATGGAGGGGTCGCTGTCGAGAGAGATCTTGATACCGTAGGTGGCCTTGTCACCCAGGGCAGAGCCGACGGCCCACTCGTACGAACCAGCCGAGTTCTGAACGCCCGCTGTCATCTCGTGTTAGCTCGGGCTCTCTTGGTGGTCAAGACTACAGATATGCTGCTTACAGGCAAGGGAGCCCAGGACGTCGAGGGTCGAGGGCGAGGCGCCGCCGAGAAGAGACAGAGACACGGTGCCGCTGGTGTAGGTGCCCGGCTGCCACTTGATGGTGTAGGTGGTACCGGCGGGAACCTCCTCACCCTTGGCGGGAGTGGTCATGGCATCGAAGCCAGCTGTCTGGGCGAAGGCAGAGGCAGCGAAGGCCAGAGCGGCGGCGGAGATAGCAGTGAAGCGCATCTTGACTGGATTTTCTGGTGGTTGAGGATTAGGTATATTACGAGTCCCTTGGTACAGTGGGTGACGACTGTGTATTTATTCAGCGAGTGTGGAATGAGCGACTGGTAAAGAGTGTGGTGCCAGGTGAGGCTGTGATTATAAAGAGTGTGGTGGACGAAAGTGTCTCTGCGGCGCCGAATGGGGGTGGTGAGAGGAAAGAGGAGAGGGAAAGGAAAGCCGTCAGCCCACGATGATGAAGAGGAGGACCAGCTACATTAGGGTGAAGGGGCACAGCACATCATGTCCAATGCGCCGCCTGGCGACTGCCGACCACTCAGAGGGCCCAGGACCCGCGGCCTAGGCGATATACGGGGTCACGACCGCCGTCCAGCGCCGCCGGCGTTGTACCTCGCCCGCCTATTAGCCCCATGCAGTTACAACAGGACTGCTGGAAATAGACTCGCCAGACACCGTCAGCTTGTCCCGCGACGATGCCCCGGTGCAGGGCTTGAGTCCTTGTGTCCTCGACGCCCGCTGCCAAGGTGGAGAGGCGGCATGGGTCCCATTGCTAAGGTTAATTTCCTACGTCGCATGCAAAGGACGCGAAGGATTACGCCTGCGAGACTGAGGTCCCAGGGGAACCCGCCCAGTCTAGGCCGCATCGGGACCAAAAGGGGGATGATCTGTCGCGCGTCGCCAGAGCGAAAACCTGCCTGGCCCTGGGGCAGCCTGTCACGCCTGGGCGCAAGTGACCAAGATGGGCTGAGCTATGAACGCTCAGCCGTTGGGGCTTTGCCATCATTGGCCCGGCTCGCCAGCAGCCCCTGACCAACGTTATGGGATCCTTGCTCCAATTACATGGGCCCTCTCAGGCCCTCTCAGGCCCTCTCCCCCCTAGCGCAGTATTCTTCGCGCTCGCGGGCCGCCTGACTGGGTAACTCACACTGGAGAAGGCCCGTCGATAGTCAGGTGGATGGCTTCTGCGCCGGTTGTCAATCTCTGTGCTGCACGTTGCTGACGCCGGAGCCTCTCGCGACTTCGCAAGCTGGGCACTGGAGTTACGGGCTACACGACAGAATTTTCTTGTGCCTGGCGGGTAATTAGGTTTGGCACCTTGGAAACCTGCCGTATGTGGTGCGACCTGTCAGGACCATGGGGGAAAAAAACTCAAAAAGAGCAAACATGGGCTGCATCTAGGTTCACCTTAATTTCACTGATATTGCCCGTTCGAGGATGGCGACATGTATTCCAAGCAGGTTGCTTGGGATGGGTTGACTGGCCCAGGCACCAACGTCTCTGCAAGTCTGACGACCTGGACTAGCTCGGCCCAATTTCGACTCGGGAGCGCTTGGCGTACACCCCTGCGCGAGTCTGGAGTCTGACCGTTGACGACGATGAGTGCATGACCGCATCGCGAAAGACGCTCGCACAGCCCGGACACTGATCTGACCTGCTTTTCGGTGGTCAACGTCCATCCCTAGGGCTCACCTCACGACCCATCAGTCACAACCTCTCTCTGAACCTAGTCGGGCCGCTGCTGCTGAGCGTTTGGGATTGCATGTACCTGTACGCACGGCGCCCTCGGCCTCGTGGCATTGACGTCCTGTCGCATGGTTTGGGGGGCCTCTCTGTATGGCGGGGTCAAAAGCTTCTTTGTCGCTGAAGATGACGCCGAGGACTTGGCCTGCGAGGAAGATGAAGACATCATGCTGCCGTTCGGATGCCCGAGGCGCCCGCAACGGGCAGTCCACAGTTGAACAAGCATAATATCCAATACGAGCCAGTCGGGATTGGCGAGTGCCATATGCCAGTACGAGTTATGCAGATTGTGATAGTCGACTGCGTTGGGAACTACGCATGAAACTATACATGGCCCGTTTTCCAGCTCGCTGCATGTTTCACCAATAGAGTGATCGTGGTGCGCTGATTGATTCGAATGCAAGCCCCTCCCTCTACGCAATCGAAAGTGCCAGCTAGCACCCATCCACAAGATCCGTGGCGCTGTCCAAATAAGCGGGCGGAGTAGGTAGGCCTGCGGCTCAGCCCTATCAGCGGATATGGTATACCCTCACTATCGTGAGAAAACCCAGCCCGGCAGTTGCTAGAAGTAAATGGGGTCAGCCACGCCATCTAACTAAGCTGCTTTGGATCGCGGACTTTCCGTGTAGGGACCTGGCTGTCAGCTTGTTCAGATTCCCGCTGAATCTCAGCCCTAGCGGTATTGGCCAGCTTTCGCCGGCTAGAGACTGCTGTTCCATCGCGATAACCTGGTACAATACCGCCCGCTGATAGCGACAGAGCGCCAGTGTGACTCGTAGCCTTGCTTCCAGCCAGCCGGGGTAAGCGAGTGGATTCAAACTCCCACGACCCAAGTTATTCCAGTATGCCACTGCCTGCGCCGTAGAACTGCGTTTCGATGCTTCGTGCTGATTTTGTCGTACTACCGCATATATTGTAAGGCTTCATTATAGCCCGGCCCTCGGAATCGCAATGCATGCCACGTAGTATGCATACATTATCGCCGACATCCCCAGGGTTTGAGCCACAAACTTGGCTGCGAGTTCGTGTTGCCGTTGAGAAGCCAATTAAGCCAGTCACTGCCAGAAATAGCACATTGGCAGTCATAGCACACAGCTGTCGCTGTGTTGACTTGTGGCGTATTGCCAAATAACTGCCTCGGACTATCCAACCAAGGTGTCCGCCAGAATAAGAATTCCTAGGCAAGACCCAGAATCTCCTGATCATAGGCACACCTTTATTCCTTTGCAGAAGCGTTAAGATCTCAAGATCAAGGCTAGGACATGGGATTTTCGTTCACCAGAATACGTATGCTTGCGAAGTAATGGACATCACATTTCGTTGAACGAATGGAACAGCCAACTGCATATTGACCAGCTTGTATGTATTAAATGTGATACCTCTGAAATATCAGATCTGTCGCTCACGTCCATGAAAGACATGATCTTGACTGCCAAAGCGAACACCATTTTGTTGATGACCGATACCATTTGGTGACCATCTAAGCCTTGACGCCTTTCCTACCGGGAACCCTGCCAAAGTGGTGGCCAAAAGGGCAGCCTAAGTGTACTGATGAACAGCTGTGTCAGAAGTGATCTACCGTGCCCAGCAGATGCTATGTTCGTTGTCATAAGGTCATTAGATTCTGTGCTTCTCGCTCTCTATAGATAACGGTCGGCATTAGTCTGAGGTCCTTAGTGCTTCGGGGGATGGTCTCTGAGCTCACCAAGGCGAGAGTACAGCATGTACAAGGCCATTCTGTTACACTCCTCCGTTCCCGTGATTGTGACCAAGCGTTCATTGCTGTTGTCTTGCGGCTCGTTGATCTTGATCACACTGCCACTGATCTGACGGATCTCGTTGATCTTCTGGCCACCTTTACCGATGATGGCGCCAACCATGTCGTTGGGGATGTAGATCTGCTGGGTAAGGGGAGCGCCCGCCATGCCGCCGCCATGCATCTGGGGCGCCTGGGGCCCTCCGTGCGGTTGAGGACCCGCAACATGACCACCCGCCTGGTGCGGTGGCATGTGAGGTCCAGCTCCGTAGGCCGCAGCGGCCTGAGGAGCGTAGTGCATGGGAGCACCAGCAGCAGGCTGAGGCACTGCTCCGTGCCCGTACGGGGGCTGCTGCGCGTAGGGGTTAGGTGGCATATACTGTTGAGCTCGGGGGTCGGGCCGTCTGCCGTAATTCTCCCGCTGGCCAAAGTTACCACCAGCTGGCTGAGGGCAGTAAGGAACGACTTGCATGCCGCCGGGCACAACACCAGCTGGGCCACCACTGCGCGTGGCATATGCTGAGGCGGCCGGCCCACCGAATCGTTCGTTGAGCTGCTCGAGGAGAGTGCTACCGACATAGTAAGTTGCAATATGCACGGCGTCGGCCACACCCATGACCACAAGGGATCGCTCGGTGGACAGGGGCAAGCAGGAGTCTGAAGCGTTGAGCCGAGCCCCGGACGCTTCCTGGATCTCCCTGATCCGAACACCGCCCTTGCCGATGATGGATCCGATCAACACATGTGGGATGAGCAGACGCAGAGGATACGTCTTGGACTGGGCCGTTGATGATTCGGTCAGAGGCTCATTATTCAATGTGCGAATGATCAGGCCGAATGCCTGGTTTCTCGTTAGTAAGATGGCCTTGCAACAGACAATGGGGACAAACCTTGGCTGCAGCGTCGACAACGCCGCTTACCGTCAGGATGCGCTCGACGGCACCCTTCTGATAATCACTGACAGTGCACTTGGCACCAGATTGCTTCCGGATGTTGCTGACATTCTCGCCACCCTTGCCAATGATTGTGGCAGCTTCGGGGCTCGAGATGACGGCCCGAATGTGGATCCAGGCGGTTTCGTCGTGTGTGTTGGCGCTGGAGCCCGAGGGCGGAGCAAGGGAGCTTACGGCCACGATGTTGCTGCCAGACTTGTTCTCGTTGGCATCCGGAACAATGGTATCGCCTTGCTCATCCTTGGCTTCCAGCTTGTCGCCGTTGGTGGTCTCGGCCTTGACACTGCCATTGGCCTCGACGGGGGAGGGGAGGCCATTGCTCTCGGGGGCGACGGGCTTCTCGTCTTCCTCCTCCTCTTGGTCGTGGCCATTCTTGATGACCTTGTCGAGCGCAGGGCGTTTGGCGTCGGGCTGGTCGTTTGTTCTCGATGGAGACGAGGCGTCCTCCAGAGGGCGCTTGGCCGGGTTGGTGTTCTGGGACGGCGAGGCAGACATTGTGTCCTAGGTTTCTGATACGTTCACACGGCTTGACGGTGAGGTGGGTAATATTGGTGATTCAATTATCGACGTCTCTCTATCTACACCTATAGGGTTTTCGAAGGAAAACGTGTAGGTGTAGTGGCGCGGGGCGGAAGGCGAGGGCGAGGGCGAGGGCACACTCTTCAACGTGATTTCAGGGTCGGAAAAGGTGAGGTCGGGTCGATGGAGTGTGATGATGAGCAGAGGCCGATGTCGCGGATGGCTGAGGTATGGTGGATGGTGCTGTGTGAAGCTACGACTGCGGCCCTTGCGGGAGCTTTCGCGTAGTGCGGTGACAGGTAGGTGACCTGACTCGGCGGAGTGATGACGGTAGGCAGGTAGACAAAGTGGTTGCTGCCCGTGGGGGGACAGACTGTGAACGACGATGAAGTGAGAAATGTAGGATGTCTCTTTTTGAGAAAAGCAGGTAGGTGGCAGTGTGTGACCAGATCAGACAGACAGACAGACAGGTAAACGCTCGTCCTCAAACCTTTGCTCCGCGAAAACCGGAACTGGACAGGTGCCCCGAATACCGCCTTTCTTTCTTCCTGTCGGTGCCGTCCTACGTCGGAGGAAGACAAGCAGACAGACAGCTAGCTACACCGCTTACCGTCGATGGATCGAAATGATAGCTGCGGCCGGTGATGCAGGGCGGGTTCGTTGCGGTCGTGGAGGATGCAGGACGCGCGCGCGGGTGCCAGCTGCAATTCCGTTCTGATGATCTCTTCCCCAGGACAGCTCCAAATCAGGGAGGAAACGGAACGGGGGGCGGGGCCAGGAAGGTATTAAAACGAATAGCGAAATGACCGGGAAAGGAGGACCACGACTTGCCGTTCGGGAAGGTGTTCCAGGAGGCCGGATAGAAACAAGTCAAAGGGTGCAGATGGGGATTGGGGGGGAGCAGGGCAACGGGGGGGTGTGCGATGAGGAAGGGTGAAGGGGATCGTGTCTCACGAAAAGGTTGAGGTGAAGGAGATCTGCGCTCCACATCTGCAGTCCAAGCGTTTGTGGTTTTAGGGCGCGGTCCGAGAAAATGGGGGCACTCCACAGTACGAGCTGGGGCGCTGGCACACGGCAGGCCACGGCAGGCCACGACGTGTTTCCTAGCGCTCTGGCGGCCGGAACACGCCTTGAAGGCCGTCCACGGGTCTCGGGAGGCTGGGCCCTGGCCTTGCTCGCCCTCCAGGCTGCTTCCATAGGTTGCCCTGGGCCACGTCCCCGTATCTCGCGTCGCCCCGCACTGTCCAAGCACGGTGAACAGGTGGCTGCCAAGCCCCCAGAGTTGACTGCAGCTCCCGGAGCGGAGCTAAGGCAGGCGGTCCTGGCCTGGGGACTCCAGCCCAGGTTGACAGCTATCGCCGGCACTCGTACAGTACGGTCCTACCGCGATCCATCTCAGCAGAGCACCAGCGACATCCCGTATAATATCGAGCGACTATTCATATGGGCAATCTCGACGCATTCCTGAGAGTCTAGCGGGGTAGCGCGCATCTAACCGGCCAGCTCAAGGCCAGCGTTCGGCACTTCTTCTGCTCTTCCAGTGACGTCCACTAAAAATCCCATGGTCGCCGGTCCCAATACTGCCCAGCCGGCAGTGGCACCGGAGCAAGACATTCCTTCCACTGAAACCTGTGCCACCCACCTTCCTCCCACCTTCTGACCGTTGGCCCCAAAGACATCGGCGACTCACATCGCACCTAGCATAGCTGGCCCTGAAGCCGCTGCCTGGAAGTCACAGCCGGCCTCTTCGCGCCATCTGGGCCAGTATCATGGAGTCGCCTCACAGCCCGGAGCGCGACGCCGTCCATGCCAGCCGCGTCCAGCAGTCCTTGGCTGAGCTCCAGCAAAAGGTCAGGGAGCACGAGCGAGTGTTGAAGCAGGTCCGTGAAGCCAAGCGACGCCGTACGCCCTGCGTGAATGCTTACCGAGAAATACACAGCTGCGTGCCTCGCCCCCTAACGGGCAGCCTACAGCCCGTCCAGAAGCTCCCCTGGAGATCATGACTACGGTTTATGATGAGCTCGCGGCCAAGACCCCGTTCCTCCCATTCCCGGACTCTGTTCTGCCTGCTCTGGTCGCGCTCCGCAAGACTCATCAGACCGTCGAGGAGACTAAAGCTTACCTGGGAGTCCATGCAGAGTCGGTTGAGAGAGCTAGGCGGCGGCTCGAGGTGGAGCAAGCAAATCTGAGGGACCAGACCGCACTGTCACAAAGCCTCCAGGGTCGTATTCAGACATTACGTGACGGTCTGGAGAGTCGGATGGAGTTGGGGCCGGATGACATTGCACGAGAGCGCATAGCCGAGCTGAAGCGCAAGAAGAAAAGCTACGACAAGGAGACGTCGAAGCTGTTGAAAGCCCTGCGGAACTTTATAGACGACCGGCTTGCATCTATGCTGGCCGCAGAAGACATGGGGGGGCCGGTGGTCGGCGGTATGATGGACATCGACACCGACGACTTGGCAGCGGGATTCAGCTCCCAGGGCCGCCTCAAGAAGGCCAAACCGAGTTCAGACGAGGACAAAAGACAGCGGCGCATCGATGAAATCTGGGGCCAGAGTCAAGAGCCTCAGTCTCTGCAGAGTGACGCCGAGTCCCGCGACGAAGCAGCAGCCGCCGGAGCGGAGATGAAGGATCTTACAGAAGAACTACTCAACAGCCTCGTGGCCGCCGACGGGGACAGCTCTGCGGCCTACGTCCATCTAAGCAAAGAGACGGCAGCCGCAAGATTTCTCGTCCGCTCCAAGGTTGCGCAGTTTCACCCCAGAGATGCAACCAAGCTTAGGCTCATAGACTTTGGCAGAGATCTGGACGAATAATAACTCGTACTGCCCGATGAAACAGCCAATTGGCTTGACATGGCCCATCCCGCCGATGCATGAGGGACACCGGACTCCCGCGAAGATCAAACATGGCGGGACGCACAGTCTAGGTTCTCGGGGCATCCATCGTGCTGAGCATCTGATGCGTGTAAATCGGCGCTGTGATTTCCTGCATCAACCTGATGCGTATTTGTAAATACAGACCGGCAGCTGATCCACTGCCATAGCATGGGCCAGATATCATTCTCCACGCGGGTACTGCCCTGCATCCTATTTCGGTGTTCGCTAATCCTACCAAGCCGCAAGAAGATTTGGCATTCTCCAATGCCGGCCGGGGTTGTGAAACATAGGGGTCGAGACTAGGATGACAGAAACAAAACTATCAGAGTCCAACTCCTGACTATTGAAACGCCCAGGTTATTAAAATGTAACCTCCCGAAATAGCAACGAAGTGCACGTGACGGAAAGGAGCCTTTTCAATCACAATCGACCAGTACGTGGAGGTACACGTGGAAAGCGAGCCATGTAATCGAACTGAGGGCCAATTCGCGTCTCAGTGGACGATGAAGCAAGACACGGCTACTGTACGAAAGCAAAATTACCAAATTCCTGGACTGCTATGTACGCTTTTAGATGCTTGGCCTCGATCAGCTCTGATTGGCACATCATATATCGAGTTCAAGCTGTGGGGACTTCAGATGAGACATTGCGACATGCTTGGGGTGTTCGCGCAAGGCGACGACAGTCTATACTTGTGATATGACTAGCTGCAGTCACATTTGGTGCTATCCGCACGCAGTGCGCGCTGGCCCCAATCAAATGCACCGAGTGCCAAGCCAATTAACGCGTCTCCGTCGCGTCTTCACCGCACACCCCACCATCATCGCCAATCTGCCACCGCTCCACCAGCTTCCCCAGCGACACACATCATCACACCGTAGCACATCTCTTGATTTTGGTCGACCACGTCAGCCGCCGACACCAACTCGCCTCCTCGATTTCCCGCCCCCTCGTAACATGAGCGCCGTCCCCTCTGCAGCCTCACCCCCGACCTCACCGCCCGCGAAGCGCCACAAGCCCTCGACCTCCATCAGCGAGACCACCACCACAGGCACTACCATGGCCGCCGCAGCACAGGACAGCAGCAACGGCACCGCCGTGCCCCTTCTGGAGCAGTCCCCGGCGCTTCTGATCAAGAAACTCTCGGACAAGGCGCGACTGCCCACGCGCGGCAGCGCCTTTGCCGCCGGCTACGACATGTATGCCGCGCAGGACACGGTCATCCCGAGCCGCGGCAAGGCGCTCGTTGAGACGGACATTGCCATTGCAGTTCCGGCCGGCACCTGTACGTACTTTGACCCCCC